AGTGCCTTCCTACCACAGGAGTCAGGCCTACCTACATGAGGTTGAGTCCAGGCTGCTGCTGTGAGCCAGCTATTTGTCCCTGGCCCAACATCAGCCATGGTCCGGTTTGATGTCCCTTGCTCGTGTTGCCACAGGGAGTCACAGGAAACATGTTTTGAAATCCAAGGCCCATGCAGAACCAGCCATATCCCTCATTGGCCCCTAGATAGCTGGCCCAGCCCCTCATTGAACACTATAGCAGGAGAGTTGTTGCTGCCCCCTCCATGGGAGACCTAACCCTAGCACTGGGGAAAGACGGCCCCACCCCACAAAATAGGCATGGCAGAGCTGGCCCCATTGGCATGGGCCTAGGAGAGCTGGATCTGCCCCTCACCCAAGGGGGGTGGCCCCAAAGGCCACAACTACCCAGTTCAACTACCATCCAGACTCAGCTCCTGGGTATTGGTTTGACCCAAAACAACAGCTACCCCATCTTTGACTTGCTGGAGTGCACAAAGGTACTGGTAGTGCAGAACTACAACCTCAGAATCTCCTTGACTCAGGGCAACAACAGAGTATTTGAGAGGAGTTTTAATGAGAGCCCAGTGGTATTGGTGTGCCAGAAATCAGAACAATGACTTGTTGTGATGAACATTTTGCAAGTGGGGCTGATTGGACAAAAGGAGTGTTCTTCAAGACTCCTGGCAGCTCCAGATGTCACTAGGATGTTGGAAAAGGAGTGGGAAAGATGGAATTCCATGGAAGGAGCTATGTTCTGTTTTTAATATATTTTTTTGGGGGAATCCTGCACGGGTAGGGGCAGATAGGAAGGGACTGGGAGGAGAGCAGTATTGGGGTGCATTATGTGAAATTAACAAAGAATCAATAAACAATATCTAAAATTAAAATAATAAATTCTTTAAAAATTAAACATTTAAATCAATAAAATGAAAAGGTAAATTCCATAAATAGAGTGTGATTCTTAATATTATCAACTTGAGTATAATGATCTGGGAAAGGTTCCTCCTCTCAGCATGCCTTTAGGAGTATGTTAATTATACTAATTGAGGTGAAAGGCATGCCCAATATAGGGGGCCTGTATTCCTGTTTGGGGAATCCTAGATTGTAGAAAAAAGGGTGCAAGCTGAGAGAATACACAAAATGTATCATGTGCTGATTTTGGCTGCAATGTGACTAGATACTTCAAGTTCCTGTTACCTTGGAAGTCTGCTAAGCCCAGCAGTAAGTTGCCTGACATGGTGAACTGTATTCTTGAATTGTAAACCAAACCATTTCTCTAGGAAGTTGCCTTTAGGGAGGCTTTCTTTTTTTTGTTTTATTTATTTATTTTTTAATTTAAGTTAGAAACAAGCTTGTTTCATGTGTCAATCCCAGCTCCCTCTCCCTCCTCTCCTCCCCTGATCTTCCCACAAGGCCCCCCAGGCCCCCACCCAATATCCACTCCAATCCCCAGGGAGGGTGAGGTCCTATATGATGGATCTGCAGAGACTGTCATCTCATCCAGGGAAGTGCCTAGGCCCTCCTCCAAGAGTCCAGACTGAGAGAGCATCCCTCATTGTGGGATGGGCAACCAACGTCTGTTTTTACCTCAGGGATAAATACTACCCAAGGCCCCATAGATTACCTAGTCCCCCTAACTGACACCTACATTAATGAAGTCTGTGTCAGTCCCATGCTTTCCACATAGCCATTAATCAGGGGTCAAGGAGCTCCCCCTTGTTCAGTTCAACTGTTTCTATGGGTTAAACCATCCCAGTCTTAACTCCTTTGCTGATCATTTCTCCTTTTCTGACACTGGATTCCAGGAGTTCAGTTCAGTGTTTGTCTGTGGGAGTCTGCCTCTGCTTACATCAGTCTCTGGATGAAAGTTCTGTTTCCCAGAGGCTCAGGCAGTGGGATTGTCTGCTGGCACTCCACTGATTCATGGCTAAAATCCATATATGAGTGAGTGCATACCATGTTCCTCTTTTTGTGACTGGATTACCTCACTCAAGATGGTTTCTTTTAGTGCCATCCATTTTCCTGAAAATTTCAAGATTCCATTGTATTTTTCCTCTGAGGAGTACTCCATTGTGTAAATGTACCACATTTTTTCTATCAACTCTTTAGCTGAGGGGCATCTAGGTTGCTTCCAGGTTCTGGATATTACAAATAATGCTGCTATGAACCTGATCTTTGTCAAAGAAGCTAAAATTATGCAATGGAATAAAGAAAGCATTTTCAAAAATGGTGCTGACATAACTGGCATCTGACATGAAGAAGACTGCGGATAGATTCATGTCTATCACCATACAGGAAACTTAAATCCAAATGGAGAGGCTTTCTAGCACAGCAATGGAAAAAGAAACTAAGACACAGGTTTTGGAGAAGTGAGGCTGTTGCTGTGAAGAACCTAAGTGATTCCTTGGCCTCCCTCTCTAATGCTTCTGGGCTGAAACATGCTGGAAGGAGACTTTCATGGGCAAGTCTGCAAGAAGTTAGAAAGACAAGAAATCTGAGACACAACTCATGAGGTTTCAAAGGAAAGCTATCATGATATTTTGGCAGAGAAACTGCCTTCATTCTCTCCTTAGCCTTCATTCTCTCTTTAGCCTGAATGAAGATAAATTTAAAGATAATGACCAGTTTATTTTGCAGAGGAAAAATCAAGACAGGCAAGAGAGAGAGGGCTCAATGGTTCAAAGAACTGACTGCCCTTCCAGAGCATCCGCATTCAATTTCCAGCACGCACATACTTGCTCACAACATCTATAACTCCAGTCCCAGAGGATCCAGTGCCCTTTTTTTGGCCTCCATGGGCACCAGGCACACAAGTATTGTGCAGGCATACCTGTAGGTTAAAACCACACACAGAAATAAAGAAGTTTTAAAAACAGGCAGTATTCAGGCTAGTGCTGAGAAAGCAATTCTGACTCTCTTTTTCTTCCTTTTTAAAATTTAAGTTAGAAACAATCTTGCTTCCTGCCCCCACCAGGACCTCCAGTCCACAACCTAATCTCCACTCCGATCCCCCAGGAAGGGTGAGGCCCTCCTTGTAGGATCTCCAGAGTCTATCATTTCACCCAGGGCAGGGCCTAAACCCTCCCCCAAGAGTCCAGTCTGAGACAGCATTCCTCATTGTGGGATGGGCAGCCAAAGTGCAATTGTAATTCTTAAAGAGATCAGCACAGGGAAAGCTGTGTTGCACTGAGACCAGGGGAAATGACTTCTGAGGGCAAAGCACAACTTCTTGGAGACTCCATCCTCTGATGATCCCAATACATTAAAAGACAGAAAGTCCATGGGGAACGCCTTCCTTTTTATTCAAAACCAACTGCCTAAGAAAGGGTTTTCCCCTAACCTATAGAACTTCTTTTTTACTTTGTGTGTTCAAAATTAAGAAACCTCAGAGTTCTCCATATGTGGAAGTGTTTGGGATGCATACTCCACAACATTACAACTCCTCCTCTTCCTCCTCCTCCTCTCATGGTTCAGGGAACACTGCAGAAGAGGGTGGCAGAAAGACTGAAAGATCTAGAAGTCAAGAGGACTGTCACAAAACAATGTCTTTTAGACATGACGGGCAGCGTCAGTCAATTATCAACAGCTAAAATTGCATACACAACACCCAAGTCTCCCATATGATCTATCGTAATCTTTATTCCAGCAGAGTTGATGGAGCAATTCACAAGGCTCCAATTATGGTTGATTAGCTACAGACAATTGAGAACTATCTGGGGAGAGAAAGTCAGTTTTCTTCAGAGATAGGTTCCCTGGTAGGTTGTCCATAGTTCAGTGGACAGCTCTACACCCATGTGCGTATGGACAACAATTTGGACTCAGTCGATTATATATAAAAACAAATGAAGTTGGTAGGGTATGTTAGAAGATAGACCCAGAAGTTGGGGGGAGTCCGTGAGAATAAAAAACAAAAGGTAGCCGGAAATGAAAGAAAAATAATTCAGTTAATTCAAAGGAATGAAAAAAAATGTTGGAACTGTTTATGGGGACTTTTCAAGTAGGACTAAATGCATTTTATACCATAAGATGGTTGTGATCCTATGAGGACAAAAGAATGGAAGGTTATGGGTGTAGAGTGATGGCTTTGTGTGACCTGTTGGTAGGGGGTAGAGTTGTGATAGCTAGAATGGTCAGCTCGACAATGGTAATGCTGAGTACTTCATAGCGCTCATCTCTTTTGAGATTTTATGTGACCAGCTGCTTCAAACTCCTGCCATGATGGACGGTATTCTACAAGTATGAGATGAGATAAACTCCCTCTCCCACCTCCCAGCCCCCCACTCCATATGTTGCTATCTTGTGGGTATTTTATAAAAGTAACAGGAAAAGAAACTAAGATTGAGAAAGTGAACAGGATACTGTGAAATAACTCATCTCTTGATAACTAGAATACTGGAATCATTAAGAACCATTTTTCATTTCCTGGTTTGTTTATCCATTTCAAAAATTTCATTCTTTTCATTTAGAGTTACATAAACGCATAAGTATGTGTATGTAAAGATGTATGCTTCCATGTAAATACATTGTATATATAAGTCATTTGCTTATATATTATATGACATGATATTTAATTATAAGAATAAACATATTAAGCCGGGCATTGGTGGCACATGCCTTTAATCCCAGCACTCTGGAGGCAGAGGCAGGAGGATTTCTGTGAGTTCAAGGCCAGCCTGGTCTACAGACAAGTTCCATAACAGCCTCCAAAACAATATAGAGAAACCCTGTCTCGAAAAACCAAAAAAAAAAAGAAAATATATATTAATGTTCACATGTATTTAAAGATAATCAGCAGTAAAAGTTATCCAAGTCATGTAAAAAATAATCTGAAAAACCATTCTAAAGTATCCAATAAACTATATGATACATAATATGGAAAAACCTGACACTATTTGGTTATTTGAACGCATACATTAACAATGACTAATGTCAGTTGTCTTTTTTGACCAAGATTTTAAATCTTGCAAGCTTATAGATAAGATATAAGAGTTTCAGCCGTGGAGAGAATTTTTTTATTTTGTCTCAACATTAGGGTCAAAATCTATCTGACAAGTTTATTTAGATGTTTTTCCTCACAAATAAAGGCTCTTATTTCCATTCAAAGACTGACTGTTGATGGTGACGGGAAATCAATAGACGAGCTTCCTTTGATTTGTTTTGACTAATACTCTGTTGGATATTAAAGTTTTCTTCACAAAGGTACAGAAACGAAGGGAAGATAGACAGCATTCATTTGTGGTGGTACGAAACTCCTAAGATTTGTTTTTCATTGTGTTGTCAGTCATATTGATGGTATTCTTAGCACAGCCTTCATATTAAATGAGTTATTCAATGTTCTCAAACTGCTCCTGTGGTCTAATAAATGTTACAGGTTCCCTGTGTTTGCTAATGATATAAACAGGAAGTTGCAGAAAAGGTATAATGGGAAACTTAAAATGTTGCTGTCAAACTGCATTACACTTTTCTCCTCATTATTTTTAAAGGTAACAATTTTATGACCAGTTGTCTTACTGAAAGTTGGTTTTCCATCAGAGTCAAAACGCAACAACGTTATTCTGAATACTACATTCCGTACCTGTTTTAAGCCAGCAGAGTCATTGTGGTACTGACGACTTTGCTTGAAAATAATATCGCTGTTGATAAAGATGATACGCAAAGAAAAGCCAAATTTGCAACCTGACCACTTGCAGGAATATGCACCATCACCATTAATCCTTATACCACATCTCATGCTGCATCCTTCAAGTTCTTTTTCATTGATGGTTCTCGGCCCAATTTCCCTGTGCTGCTGTGCCCATAGCAAAGTCAACCACTGTTGTTTATAAACAGGGGACATCCATTCTAAAGGTATTAGGCGATCTTGTTCAAGAATAGTCATGGAGGCCAGGTCAAAGATGATATGCTGAAACCTCAGTTGTTTGAACACTGGTTGAAATACTAGCCCTTCTTCAGTTTCAAGAAAAGTGGTGTTGTCAGTGCATTCCATGCGCCTGGAAAGCCAGCTGTTGGCATTAGCAAAGAGATGGTTCACTGAACCTTTCCAGCGAGGATTAAAATAAAGGAACATCCATGCTTTTAGGGTGGTATATAGATCAAATTCCTTTTGCACCACGAGTAGATCAGATGATGACACAAGTAGATACATGATCTTTATATCAATTTCTCTGTAAAGTCTAACATTTGGGTGTATCATCAAGTTGCAAGGAAGCCAGTCAAAGCACTGTGACTTTACAGATTTCAATCTATATGTTTCTGCTGTTGTGTAGTATGAACACACAGTTTTCATACTAATGGTTTTCTTCATGGTCTCATTACATTGCTGAATTACCTGCTCTACCTGAAGCAGGCATGCTGCTGCCAGAACATGAGGAATTTGTCGAGGCTTCATTGGCAAGTCCTCGTCCCTGTACAATGAACCAAACACAAAATCCAAGGACCAGATGTTTATGTGATGGTTCTTAATCTCCAGTTCAATAATATCACTGTGCGGTTCTTTCCAAGTATCTTTGAGCATATCAGCAAAGTACCCCGACTGGCATAAAAAAGCTTTGTGCAAAGACCACACTTTCCCCAGAGCATAGATTTTGACATCACTGTCTTCCCCACCCAAAAATAAAGTTTGGTAAGTATACTTAGTTGCGAGCTTCCTTTTCTTTCTGCAGAATATGCCAAAAACTTGCTGTAGGCTTACTACCAGAGATCCGTGAATGCTCCAGCTCGGCCCCAACCTGTCCCAACTGCTCCATTTGCGCTTGCGACTGCCAGACACGCTTCTGGAACCAGCACTGCATTCAGGCTGCTGTGGCTCTGCCAAGCTGGAGTCCTCAGGTCTCCAGACTCGGCTGCTGCAATGTCCCATGGATGAAAACACCTAGAACGTCTAAAGGAGACTGTTGCAGAGGTTTCTCTCCCTTGCCATTACTGGAGTGTGCCAGGACTGCCTGAGCTCACTGCATTTCTCTGGCACAGTCTCAAAAGTCACAGAATGGCAAGCCATTATTCATTGTCTACCCGTGCCCTTGAGCAGGGGCCCCGCCCACTGCCAGCAGTCCTTTTAAAAGTATGGCATGTGACCCAGCTTCTTGTCTTCCTCCTTCTCTTTCCTTCCTCCCTCTTCTCTCCCTTGCCTTCTACCTAATTTCCTCCCTTCTCTCCTTTCTTGTTTCTTCTTTTCCTTTCCCCATTCTCCTTCTCCTTTCCTCTGCCCTCTATTTTTCCTCCATGGTTTCCAAAGGGTCACTCACATATGTTGCTTTAGCTGACCTCACTCACAGTCAATATCCTGCTGCCTCAGGCTTGTAAGCTGAAGTTTTTTCTGTAAACATAACGTCCAGGTTACACCCATCTTGATGAGTGTTAAGGATTGTACACATTCCAACTCATAACCCATGGAGTACCTTAGAACACTCATCTGTAGTGCTGGGGGTTGGTGGCTCATACCTGTAATCCCAGCACTCAGGAGGCAAAGGAGGTGTATCTCTGTGAGTTCGAGTCCAGCCTGGTCTCCAGAGCAGTTCCGGTACAACTTCCAAAGCAATACAGAGAAATCCTGTATCAAAAACCAAAACAAAACAAAAAGCCAAAAAAAAGCACTCAACTGTCAGTTGTATTGATTTTAAATACCAGCAACTTTTAGCAGTTTAAATGGTAGACATTTTTATCGCATATTTTATTATTCTTTTTGATTACTATATAAGACATGTATTAAATCACACATGTGGTTGTATGCGTAGACAAATATTAATTTCATATATGTGGTTGCATGCATATTCCCCAAATTTTTGTGTATGCTTTGCCTATTCATATACAGGTTTAAAAACATTTTGTTGGCATTGTAAGAGCAAGGTATAATGGAGAGTTAACTCCATCCTCAGAAAAAGCCTCCTTAAGAAATTCGCCGTGTGGCACAAGGCTGATTCAACTCCAGCCAAAGGACCATAAACATTTCCAAGGAGAGCCCATCCTGGTCAAAATGACCCCATATGGATGGTCAGGCAATGACTAGTTTGATAAATAACATCTTGTCACAACTGTTCTTTCAGGCAACTCTTATTAAAAATTTAGAAATTCCTCTATCCCCATATCAATGAATCCAAAGGTCACCTACTCTTACCCAATCCTGAACAGCCAAGGTAAGTACCACACTGCTTGCGGTTTTATTCCTTTATAAACCCCTTCCAATTCAGGTCAGACACCCTTTTTTGCAGCTGCTATGCCAGTTTCCTGGACAGGGTCACTGGTGAGGCTCATAACTTAACATTAAAGTTTGCCTCAGTGAGTCAGCTCCTTGGTGGTCTCTTTTTGGGGTCTTACAAACGTGGCATAACAGACATTAGGCTCATTATAAATCCAATTATTTGTCATATGTGTACAAGTATTCATGGTTTATGTTTTTGTTTTATTGATTTGCAATTTATATATATTTTTCATTTTTAAATTCAAATTCCAATAAGAAACAAGGTTGCTTCACATGTCAATTCCAGGTCCCTCTCCATTTCCCAGAAGCAGGTAAGAATAAAGGATTGATAGTCTAAAGAGCATGAAAAACTTAGCATTCTTTAAGTCTGCATCTGTTTTCAAAACTGATTTGAACATTTTCTTTCCTCTAGGACATGTTGCCCTGTAACTTGCCAATCTATGCTTGTTAATTCTCTATCTGTATGATAGTTTGCAGAGGTAATAAGAATGTTCATTCACTGTCTTGCCTGCTCTTTGTCATCTCTGCTTATTATGAATCTGATATTGGTTGAATCTACATAGGTTTTGGGACTGTCATTTTATTTACACTGTTAGTTTATAGGAATAATCTGTAAGAAGAGTGAAGATAAAACTACACTAGATGTTATTAGGATCTTTGATCACAACAGTGTCACTACAAGTTTTGGATTATACTGGCACCATGGGCCTTTTACTCCATCCAAGTGGCACTTCTTGTTTTATTCTTTATTTATTGGCTTTTGTGTTGGGTCTTTCTTCTCTAATGTTTTCTCAGAAATGCTTTGAATCTATTTAGTGTTTTACAAGCCTGTTACTTTAAAAAATCTCTAATATAAAAATTCCACCTATGAGGGGGAAGTTTAAGCAGAGATGGGTAGAAAAATCGGTGACATAAGGTTAACCAAAGTGTTACCAGAAGCTAAGGATACATTACAAAGACATATGGAAACTTACTGTTTTATAGTCCAATTCAAAGCATGTTAGTTACAACAGAGATTTAGAGGGTAGATATCCTATATGTCTGCATAGCGCTTCTTCTGAAAGTCAAGCAAAAACCAAAACAAAACCAAACAAAAACCTCAAAATATCTCAGTGCCAGATGGGAGATACTTCCACATGGTTTGTTTGGTCAGATTGTCCCCAGAAGTCTCCAAAACAATACAGGTTCTTATACTCTGTTTGTTGGCCCACCATACCTAGTTGATAAGACCATGTTACTGAAGACAAAACACACCTAGCTGGCAAAATTAAGCTGGAATGGTTCTAGAAACTTCCTTCATGCCAGTTAGCTTTCATAGGAGTGGAATGTGCAATGCAGGATGCTGGCAGAGTAATAGCATCAACATCTTTACCCAGACATGAAATCTATGAGTTAAAATACCAACCCACCAGGTTGCTTGCACAGTTAGTGGCATGGCTGTTTATAGCAGGTAATGTATCTATGATTGGATTTGAGGCCCATTCCACAAGAGGGAATCCATACCTGGTACTCTCAATCTGGTCAGAAACCATGACTGAGTAGGTCTTCAGACTAAGAGCAAAACATAATACTTCTATTTATGTAAACTGTCATGGTGAAAAGCTCTCTTCTAAGTATCTATGTTTATATTCATAGAGAAATGCCACCCCAGTGCTCTATAAGAAAATGTAAAAAATGGAAGATAAGAAGGGTTATGGAAGACTGTCATTTTGGCACAGTACAGCCAATGCAGATATGACTTCAATAGTAGTGAATATATGCAATAAGTCAATGCATGACTAAGCCTCTCAATAGTCAACCATGACCTCCCTTAATGAAATAGCTACTGGTGGATTCTGAGGGATGTACAGCAATTATCTTCAGTTGTAAATCCATTGAGCCTCACCTACCCCTACCTCCCATTCCAGACTTCAATCCCAATGACTTCAAATCCATGATCATACAAGAGATATGGGTTACTATTGGGTTCTCCATAAAAAAATCACTGTGTGAAAGAGAACTAGATGGAGGAGAGGTTTGGTAGAAGTGGGAGGGAGACTATAAAGGATAGCTGGTTTACAGCAATCTGGATATAATTGTCAAAGAAAAATTCAATAATAATTTTTAAGAACAGAGAAAAAACTCTACCCAAAAGTTGGACATCAACTTGGGCCACAGAGAAAGAACATGTATGTTTCCAGTGGTTCCCCATGGCTTCATATGTAGTGATTCCATTACTAGACAGTTAATGTGGTTTTAAATTTGAACCTAGAGGTTTCTTCTTCTTGAATCATGAGTGTCAGATGACAATAAAGACCATTTGACCAATGACATACATCACTTAATTCTACTTCCTCGGTTCTTATATATTATTTTCTTTTGCAATCAAAAACCCATAGTTATTCTTTTTCCCTTTATTGAAAAGTTATTTTCTCTCAAATCATATAGTATTACATAACACAACTTGGTTATGGTTTTCCATCCCTCCTCTCCTCCAAGGCCCTCTCTAACTCCCGTCCCATCTGGTAGCACTCCATTTCTTTATCTCACTATAATATAAACCGGCATCTTAGGGGTAATAATAAAATACACTTTAATAAGATAAAACAATACATAGCACATTGGAGTCAGGCAAGGCAGACAAACAGAAGAAGAGCCCATGAGAAGGCACAAGAAACACAGACCCACTGGGTGGTGGTGACACATGCCTTTAATTCCAGTCCTCAGGAGGCAGATCTCTGTGAGTTGGAGGCCAGCCTGATCTACACGATGAGTCACATGATAGACTACAAATCTACACACAGAAACCATATGTTGAAAGGGAGAGAGAGACAGAGACAGAGGGAGGAAGCAAGAGGGAGAAAGGGAGGAAGGAAGGAAGGAAGGAAGGAAGAAAGGAAAGAAAAAATAAACAGGGACCCACAGTTTCTACACTCAGGAAACCTATAAAAACACTAAAATGGAAATCATAATACATATGCAGAGGACCTGGAGCAGGCCGATGGCCCTGTGCTTGCAGATTCAATCTCTGTGCATTCATTTCAGCTTTGATCAGTTTGGTTTAGTGTGACTTGTTTCTTGATATTCTACATCCCTTCTGGCTCTTACATTCTCTCTGCCACCTCTTTCTTTCCCAAGGTTCCCTGAGACATAAGGAAGGGATTTTTGAAGTCATCCAATTTAGAGCCGGTGTTCCAAGGGCTTTCAATCTCTGAGTAATGTCTGGCTGTGAATCTCTATATTTGTTCCCAACTGCTGTAGGAGGAAGCAACTCTGATGATGACTGAACAAGGCACTGGTCTATGAGTATTGCAGAATTTCGTTAAGAGTTAATTTATTGCTAAGGTTTCCCATCCCCACTTTGGAAAAGTAGCTAATGTTTGGTTTTATTCTAGGTCCCTGGTCTATATAATCAGAGTTCTTGGTCATCCATCAGTGTCAGGTATGGATTCCATCTTGTTAAGGAGCCTTAAGTCCAATTGGGTATTGGTTGGTTATTACCACAAGTTTGTACCACAATTGCCTGATTATATCTTGCAGGCAGGACACCATCCAAGAATTGTGGCTGTCCTGGTGTTTACATCTCTTGTTTGGTAGTATACAGAGTACCAAAAAACATTAGAACATAAGGGTAAAGGATGTATGTAGGCGTCAGCTCAACTTCTCTATTTTTAAAAGTTGCATAGGTGCCATCTTCAGCAAAGGGACCGCAAAGTCAG